TATATATATATATATATATGCATGTAAAGATCTTGGTCCAAAAGGTTTTAGTTCAAGTTGTTTGAGAATGTGCATATAACCCCTTGTAGTTAACTCCTTTTAGTATCTTTAAATTTCATTAATAATCCCTTTAGACGACTGATTTTCAAACTTGACAACTCTCAAGTCTCAACCTTAAAAATGGAACTTGCTGTACAGAACTACAGATGCAACACAGTTGGTATTGTCATAGGTTTTAAACGATTTTAGTGTTGCATTTTATAACATGTCGACTTTAATTTAATATTACATTACATGTGGTTTGCATCGAAAGCAGTTACTTCAGGTAAATCACAATATTTTTTAAGGCTAAATGCAAGGAATAGTAACATACTTTCATTTTATTTATGCTATAGCATCCTACTTCCATTTTCGTTTGTTATAAGGTTATTTCATGTAAAAAAGAAACTAACATATTAAGCTTACTAAGTAAAAAATGAGCAGCCCCTCATTCCTACGCATCATCACACATATTGGAAGTACATGTATTAGAATGTGTATCTTCCTAACATACATCACTACTGGAAACACACACAAACACTGTACGTAATACCAGATGGGAAAATAAGTTGAAGGAAATTATGAAATGAAAATCAATCGTTCTAACTAGCAAAGGGAATTGCAGTTAAAACATCCGACTTAGTGGCGCTAACAACATATTTTATCATGTACATTTTATCAAACACCTATATTTGGTTCTCACTAATGGCTAAGAAAGCAAACATAAGGCATTAAAACAACCATAGAAATGATAACACAAAGGTAGAAACTGGAAACAGAAGGTATGAAAAAAAAAAAAGTGAATAAAAACATTCCGCGTTTGTAGCCGTGTATTTGGAGTCACACAAGGGTGAGAATGGGAAGTGAGTGATAAATAAATAGAGAAATTTAATGGAATCAATTCCAAAACCATTACTGATTATGAAGTTAATTTGAATTGGAGAAGATTTGATTGATGCGTGATAGTAGCTGAAATACATACCTGCCAAATCAGTCTAAGTTCTTATATATCTGTGGGATTTTGGAATGCAAATCAGAGTGAATCAAGGAACCGAGATTTGAGGCTGATTGCAGATTTAGAATATAAATTCCTGATTTTGTGATCGATTGAAATATGAAAATGAGGAGGAAAACACTTGAGTCGTAAATGAATATAAAAAGCCAGAAGGGCATACTCGGTATTTTACTCTGTATATTTTTTGGCGGGAAAAAAAGACTTGCAAAAAAAATATACTTTATTATAGTAGGAGAAGGACATGTGTCAAACTATTTCGATATAGGATATGTACAATACAATATCTTAACCGACTAATATCTCAGAATTATAGGAAAGATAATCTTTGCTGTGATAAAAGGATAATCTCGGCTAATAAGTATAGTTAAAAAGAAAACGATTGGGGACGAAACATGTACTAAAAAGGGAGGGAAATTACTCAAACAGAGAGAGCGACGCCCTGAACCTTAGGGCAAAAACGCATTTTTTATCAGGTATTTGAAGTCGATTTTTGAGTGTTATATGTTTAACCCAGGTTATTTGTGGTCGTCATTGCTAAATGGTTAAATATTTATCACAAACCTAATAACAGTTTAGCTTCTTTCAGCCGCATTGCTAAATTAAAAGCAAATATGTATGTAATGCAGCCGTTTGTGAGTTTGTGTTGGAGGTCTGATTGATGAGGATGCTTATGCAATTCTGATTACATCTTCTTACAGTTAAAGTAGTTTTTTAGACAATTTTTTGGTAAATTACTATGTCTTGTGTCGGACGGAAG